ATGAAAAAAGTACAAAGCTGAAGAGCACCGAGGACCAAAACTTCCAAAAAGTTGCTCCTAACACGGCCAGGGTTTTCTGCCTGGGACAAGAACATCCTTATTATTTAGAATAATTTATAATTTTGCAAACAGTAAATTTTATAAAATGACTATATAATAGATATACATGATAAAACCGAAGTTGGGACTAACTACATTACATAAAACAACTTAATCCAACACATAAAAATACACAGCCGAGTTAGCCAAAGCCTCAACGCACAAAGTGACGTCACATTTGAAAGTCTAAAAAAAAACACACAAAGTGGCGTCACATTTGAATTTGTAAAAATATTTCCCAAAAATAAGATAGGATTAGGATTGATTCAAGATTAGATTTGTAATACTGACATTACATTTATTAATAACAATGAAAATTACAATACTTATTAATATCAAATTGTGGTAGTAATTAGATAATTAATTGTATTATCTAGCTATGTCGGTGTTTCTTCTGAATCAAACTGTAAACCAAATATATCGTATAAATTTCGTTGAACCAAACTAAAATCTAATAAATGAAGGTTTAAGGGGAACCACTCATGGTAGGTCAATATTATTTGGTAGGGAGTTGTATAAACTTTGGTATATCTTATATATCTATTGAAATTATTTGGCCGTGCACCCCCAGTCACGGTCTAATGACTCTGAAACGGTTTCATACTTTACAATCAGTTTTCTCTGTTAGTCAATGATATTAATTTAGCAGTTGTCTTAGCATTAGCATGCCTCATTTCCATAGCAATTAATTGGCCACGCACGCTCATCATGGTTTATTGATTTTGAAACTTTTGAATCATCATCATCATCATTATTTAAGAAATAATTCATGGAAGCCATAGATTTGTTGGAAATTTACACACGGCCCAGGCCATGTGTAGATTTCAAAAAAATCTATGGCTTCCATGAATTATTTCGATTCTAATAGGACAAATACAGTAATTTAAAAAACTGAAGCGAGGGTGGGTATGCCGTTTGTGTGGCTGTTCTAGTTTTTCCCCTGCTAGATAAAGCTAATAATTTCGGATAAATCTACAGCTTGCATGAATTATTTCTTAAATCACCGCTGAAATCAGTAAATGTGCGAATAATGCAATAGAATAGAAATAAAAAAAACACCTACCTCAAAACTTCATTTTACTGCAATATTATTCGAATTTGAAGGGTTCACGTAACGGAAAAACCTTCAGCTTTAGCGTTTTCATTCGTATGACGTCATGTTTTGAAATGACTTTAATGCGCCAAAAGCATTAATGGAATTTCGCGGAATTTTATTTTGTACATTTTTCCGAGCTATAATGCATTAATTCTTTTTGTTATGCATCAGAATAAGAATAAAGGTTTGGTAGTTTTTTCAATTTCATTTTTTTTAAAAATCGGCATAGCGTTTGCACGTTACGGTTACGATACATGTGGGTTTACGTGGGAGGTATACTGTAACAGCCATTATTATGTACATCTCTTAGTCTGCGCTAAGTATAGATAAATCAAGAATTTTATCACGGTGTTATTCACAAAGCGAAAGAAGCACGTCATATTAGAATTATTATTATTATTATAATTGTTTACTCTTACCGTTGGAAACAGTAAGGAATGAAAACGTAATATTCAGTTTGATGTTCGGTCAGTATCCCTAGCTGAATATTCACATCTTTTTAAGAATCCATGACAACTCACCCCACTGCAAATCGCCCCACACCAAATCGCCCCACTTCCTAAAAAATCGCCCCACTCGTGTTTACCATCTCGCCCCACTTATGAAAAATGGTAAAATCCCGTTGAATATAGGTCTGCCAACTCGCCCCACTTATGAAAAAGTTTAAATTCCCGCAGAATAAAGGTCTTCCGACTCGCCCCACTTATGAAAAATAGTAAAATCCCGATGAATTTAGTCCTGCCAACTCGCCCCACTTATGAAAAAGGGTAAAATCGCGTTGAATATATGTCTGCCAACTCGCCTCACTTATGAAAAAAAAGAATAAAATCTTAAAGCATTAATTACTACCAACTCGCCCCACTTATGAAAAGGAGTTTAATCCCATTGAATTAAAGTCTGCCAACTCGCCCCACTAATGAATAAAAGAAGTAAACTGTACTGAATTAAGGCCTACAAATTCGCCCCACTTATGAATTAAATGAATACTGATGAAAACCTTAAAATGCATCTTGTTTTTTTTTAACTCTTTTCTTTTGGTTGAAATAGACAGAAAGTAAGTATAAGCATTTCTGTGACGTACTATGTTATTGACTATTGTAACTGTTTATGACGTTTGTTTTCTTGTAAATGTAATCACTGTTTTACTAGATAAGTCAAGGATCGTGGGTGTTTATAATAATAATAAAGTTATTTTCCAATAAATACTAAAATTATATATAATAAATAATGTATCTACAATTTTATTTTAAGAAATGAAGAAATGCTGCATCATTTTATTTCGATCATAATCATATATTAAATTTTCGATTTTTATTAGTATCACAAGTGATTGTTTTAATTCTGTGTAGATAAGTTTTCATAAGTGTGGCGAGTTGGCAGACCTTTATTATATATTATCGGGATTTTACCTTTTTTTATAAGTGGGGCGAGTTGGTTAACCAGAGTGGAGCGATTATTTAGCGATTATTTAGAAAGTGGGGCGAGTTGGTAAACAAAAGTGGGGCGATTTTATAAAAAGTGGGGCGAGTTGGTGAAAAAGTGGGGCGATTAGGCAATGGGGCGAGTGGACTTTTAAATTTAGTTTTTTAATATCTATCGAACAGTTTTTTTTTTAGAACAGAATAAACTTCATGAATGTAACAGTTCTATTTCAAAAAAGAGGCATGTGGTATGATTGTAAACGAGACACCTATCAAGCTAAAATACGAGGATACATCGACATAAAGAAATATATCGACCTTAGACTTCGTCAATTGTCGGTATACTTCTTTGATGTCGATATATCCTCCTATCGACTTCACAAAACGGACATAATTGTATAACATAATGTTACTGATAAATAAAAACGTTATAAATGCGATCCTGGATTGTTGGCATCACTAACTACGACTTATCACCGGGTGTTTACTTGGCACGAGCTACTCGACGGGTGCCACTACTTATTACCGCTATCGAAACTCGTTTTCCACCGGATTCTAATTGGTTTGTTGTTCAATCATTTTTCTATATCGTGTTTTAAGGACTGATGAGTTTTGTCCCAGATGTTATCTCATTATTATGTGTAATTCTTCTACTTATTGTTTTTTTTTATTCTGTATTTCCCCCTTTTTTCAATGTTCGGTACTTATGCATAATTGACTTTCAAATATTTGGCTTTAAGCGTATCTGATGGAGGTGAATCCTGAAAAGTGCCTTGGATGCATACAATTTATATAGTGTTATTTTCATTTTCCGTCTAGAAATAGTTTGCTATGATTTTCTTACATGACAGCAAATATAATCCATCATCACAAATATCCAAAAAAATATTTTATCCAGAAAAAACAATTTCCATACTCAATATTTAGGCATGACTGCAATCTTCATCGCAAAATCTTACAAGCAGTCCTTGAATGTAAAAAGGGCAGACAAAATGTCAGGATGAAAATGTAATAAGAAAGTTTGATATTTGTATACAGAAATATTCTCTTGAATACCTTTAAAATTTTACAGCCGTTATCAGCATCGGATCTGAAAACCAAATATTTCTAGTAATAAATGATATAAGACGATATTCCGCACCCTATCTTTTATTTTAATGTCATTAATAAGAGTAAAACACTGAAAATGATATATAATTATTGTGTTTACGACATATGGTAGAGATAGGCAACGAAGGAGACATGTGCGCACGTTTAATTGGTTTAACCCCACCACGTTAAATTTTGTGTCAATACCAAGTCAAGCTACTTGGACCTTATGTTGTTTGTTAATGTTTGGTATGAATTTTTAAACGTCAACATTACTCATGGAGTCGAATGTTGGTGTTTAATGTGGTTTATTGTATTTATTAATGATTGTTTTTGAATTGATGGCAGTGGAAACGGTAAAAATATTTTGTCTGTACGTTGATTTTTGGTGACCTCGTGAAATAATTATTTTTAAAATTAGGTAAAGGATAGTCTTTTTGCAAGTTGCATACAAATTCTTTGAAAAGTTCGAAAACAAATAGTTTATTGTTAAAGATATGAACTAATTCTTCGGACGTCATGATTATCGTTACATTCCACACACAATATATTTAATAAGAACACTATTGTTTATTATTTATCGTTAAAATGTTGATCAATAACAAAGTATAAACCATCGAATTACAATCTCGAGATCTTCTCCCGTTCCAACATTTTTATTCTTAACCATTTGAAAATTAGGTTTTCAAAAAAAAGTAAAATCACAAAAATACTGAACTCCGTGGAAAATTCAAAACAGAAAGTCCCTAATCAAATGGCAAAATCAAATGATAAAACACATCAAACGAATGGACAACAACTGTCATATTCCCGACTTGGTACAGGCATTTTCAAATGTAGAAAGTGGTGGATTGAACCTGGTTTTATAGCGCTAAACATCTCACTTGTATGACAGTCGCATCAAACTCCGTTATATATACAACGACGCGTGAACAAAACAGACATAATAGGTAAAATAGTCACAATATGGGTACAGCATTCATCACTGTGTCACAATCTCAAAACAAACAAATATTTAACAAAAAAGCACAGAAAAGTTACAAATTACATTATAATACATTTTTTCTGTTTTCGTCCATATAACTGTAGAAGTTTTACACATTCTTTATTACCATCTCGTTTCAACAACTTCAGGAAGTTGCTCCCGTTTTCGTCAGTATAATGTATATCAGCTCCTTTATTTATTAGTAACTGAACGGAGCTCTCTTTGTCAGTGTCGTATTGACTTCCACAAACGTTTTTTAGAGCAAAGTTAACGTCTGCGCCATTTGATATGAGAAGGTCAATAATACTTTCTAATTCCCGTCTAAGATTTTTGTAATGTTTTCTTGTCTGATAAAGCATGCCCATGTCAGTGGACTCCATTCAATAGGATCAACTTTGTGCACATCGGCACCACATACTATCAATAACCTAGTTGATTCTACATCATTATGTTTGAAAGCCCATATAAATGCCTCCCCAGTATCTGCTCCGTTGTTTATCAGTAATTCTGCAAGACATTGATAATCAATTTTACATGCCAGTATTAAAGGAGTATCTTGCCATTCATTAGTTTGATTCAAGGTTACGTTCTTTTCAATTAGTAGTTGAATTATATCATAATGTCCAATTTTTGATGCCTCAAATAATGTCTCTACCAACTCCTCATTTCCACACTTTCCCATCAATGATTTACAAAATGAGTTCCCTACTTTTTCATGGGCACATTTAAGTGATTGAAAAATGCTGGCCCTACCATTTTTCACTAAAAACTGAAATATTTCGTCGGTTGAATGCTTGCAAGCGGTCATTAAGGGAGTGAAACCATTTTCATTGCATTCATCAATGTCAAAATCAAACTTTAGAATTTTACAGATTGCATTTAAGTTATTAGAGCAACACGCGAAATGGAGAGCTTCATACATATTTACACCGTGCTGAATAAGTAATTGCTGTGTGTTTCCGTCTTTTTTGTCACATGATTCAATAAAAATCTTATTCAAATCGCCACCTGCTTCAATTAAAGATTTTGTTAAAGTATTTTCTCCTATTTTAACAGCAGTAAGAAGATCGTTATTAACAAAAGACCCTCGTTTCAATAATAATGAAATAATGGGTTTGTTGTCGAACTTACACGCCCTCATCAAAGGCGTCCACATATTTTTATCTTGATGGTGAATATCAGCACCATTAGAAAGCAATTTCTCAACAGTGCTTTCATCGCCATATTCACATGAAATAGTCAGCAAGCGGTCTAGATTTCCTCCATTTTTTACCAACGTATCAATGATCCATGTATCATTGTCTCGCATAGCGCTTAAAAAAATTGTTTCAATATAGGCACCTATTCTAATTAAATAATCAACATTTTTCATATTTCGTCCTTTTAAAGCCCATCTTAAAGAATTCCAACCATTTTCATCGATATCATTGACATTCGCTCCTCTTCTTACAAGCAAACGTACAATATCTGTATAAGACCTGTAACTTGCCCACATTAACGGAGTTGTTTTGTTTTCGGACAAAATATTAACATTCGCTCCTAATTCTAACAGAACTCTGGTAATGCATATCTTATTACATCGACATGCTGACAGTAGAGCTGTTGAAGGATCAATGCACTCTGCTAACCAGTGCGTATTGCGTCGGTCTACCACCCTGTAGTCAATATCTGCACCATTTTCAATTAGAAAATAAGCAAAATCAGTTTCATGTAATTTACAACTTTTGTATAATATTTCATTTATGTTCGGCATTGTTCTAAGCAGGAGATTTATTATTGTAGTTTCCTTCATATTAAAAGCTAACACTAGGTCTCTGTATACATTTGCCCCGGCTTCTATCAAAAGTGAAACAAGTTCTGTTTCTTTGTTTAAACACGCTTCCCTTAAAGCCGTTAAGCCACCATAAGAAGACATATTTACATCGGCCCCCTTATTGATTAAGTACTGAGTAATTTCAATATTTCGGGCACGGCAAGATATTATAAGAGGGGTGTAACCAAAAGGATCGCACCCGTTTATCAAAGTTTTACTTTTCTCAGTTTTCCCGTCCATTTCAAGAAAACTTTGTTTTTTATCATCAATTAAAAAATCAACCGTTTTCTTATCGTTGTCTTTGATTGCATGCATGAGTTCCTTCAATTCAGAAATACCATTGCGGAAAAGCAACACAATAATAGCCTTTTCTTCTTTTTTTAATGCCTTTTGTAGAATTGATTTTCCATCGTAAGAAATATGATACATATTTGCACCTTTTTCAATGAGCAAAGAAGCTATTTCTATGTAATTGTTTTTGCAAGCCCACATTAATGCTGACCACCCACAGTTATCTTGTTGATCGATGATGGCTCCTTTGGATAGTAGAAATTTTATTATTGTACGTCGAACTTGATTAATTTTAGGGTCACGTTTATTAACATTCTCGTAAACCTTGCTGTAAACCCTCGTGTCGATATAACCAGCATTTTTTCTGTTTATAACACCTATACACACAACCAAAAGAGCAGTTTCACCATCCTTATTTCTTTTATTTACATCAGCTCCGTGCTCAACTAATAACTTTGTGAGGTTATAATTATCACTCAAACAAGACGCCATCAATGGAGTCCAACCTTCATTATCAGCTTTATTACAATTAGCCTGACCCTCTAATACAATACAAACCAATGGTAAATGTCCTTGAGAACATAATTCAATCAAGGGAGTTACTCCATATATATCCTGACAATCTATATCGACTCTGTTCTCAATCAAAACATTTACTATATCAGTGTGTCCTTCTGTACAGGCCAGCATTAATGCTGTTCGACCAAATGTATCCCTTGTGTTTAAATCAACTCCCTTTTTAATAAGAAGTTTTACAATATCTACTTTACCACCTTTACACGCTATCATGTAAGATGTTAATCCTACGTCGTTGACCTGGTTAATATCAGCTCTATTTTGGATTAAAATGTCTACAATAACTGTTTGCCCGTAAAAACATGCCCACATTAATGACGTCCATGCATTTTTATCTCCTGTATTCAAATTTGCACCTTTATAAATGAGGAAATCGAACATTTCATGCGCTGAGCGTTTGCGGGATCGCATTACCGGTGTTTGTCCTTCGTAATCACCTTTGTCTATATCAGCACCATGGTAGAGGAGCAATTCGGCCAATTGTTTGTTACTACTGGTGCATACCCACATCAATGGAGTTGGACCTTTGTTTGTTCTTTTGTTTAAGTCAGCTCCTTTGTCGATAAGGAGTTTTACTGCTGCTTCATATTTATTTATGCATGCCATAGTCATGGGAGTATGGCCACTTTTATCACGATGATTAACCTTTGCTCCTCTAGATATCATCAACTCTAACAAATAACAATGACCAGAAGATGCTGCTGCATTTAATGGATGAAAGCGGCGATCAAAATAATTATTCGTATGGTCTAATATAAATTCAGCTAAATCCAAGTAGCCTTTATAACAAACAATATACAATGATGTAACTGGATCAGTTCCATTTTCACGTGTTTCATCCTTTGTAGTCAACAACCTATTTAGCATGGAGTCAGAGAGAGTTAAAAGAAACTTGATTAATTTTGATCTGTAGCTTGTAAATTGCATTTGATTGTTACAGAAAACATCATAAATATTCCCCTGTAATATGTCTTTAATGATCCTGAAGAAATATTGATTTTCATTTTTTGTCTTTACTAAAATAGAAAACGTGTCATGTTCCTCATTCAAAGAAGTAATATGCGTATGGTCTCTTATAACTTTGCTATCAGAATACAAAATTACATCTCTTTGCAATGTTTTGCCAAAGTAATAACACAGACATTCAAACACTTTATCATGAATACAAGTGTAATATATGTCTGTCTTTTTCATATATGTATTTAATAAGCAATCATACTGCCGAAATATTAGTTTAGTCGGAGTCTCTCGATTGAGTTCACAAAGATCGAAAATATTTTGAAGTTGGAATCTGGAAAATTTTGTCTGCGTTCCATAGATCTCTGTTTCATGAGCGTTTGTGTCATTCTCCATTGCATCTAAACGGATATATCTTTCACAGTTTTTATCTGGATTTCTTATAGAAGCATTCAATAGAACACAAATTAACAATGCACAATATTTCAGCTTGTCTTCTTCTTTCATAGCAATTATCTCTTGTTCAAATATTTCATAAGGATTATTGAAGAAATTCAATGGGTCAGTTATAGGACGTGTTGTATACTGCTGACACATAAGAGGAAAATATTCCATCTGTCCTATATATTGTTTAATTTTTTGAAAAATATCTTGCGGTAGATATTTCAGAGCTATCTTCTCCTTTTCCTCTACAGAAATAGAATAACACCCGAACGACAAATCACACACATTTTCATTGAAAACAGTAAGCCTCTTAAAGCTTGGATCTTGGAAAACAGAATAGCGATTTGATGTCAAAATTTTCACATCATCTGAATTTACAATAGTTAACTGTGATAGATATTTTTGCCACTCCCTGACCTCATTTTCATTAATAGTATATTTTCCACAGATATCGTCCACTACAAAGGCTATCTTTCTCCCCTTATTAAAATGGAGTGGAATATCTGCAGGACTACGACAGGGAATTATTATGTAGCCCTCTGTATTCCGGAGCTTTAATGCTATATGATGTATAGTAGCCGATTTACCAACTCCTGGTAATCCTGTGACAGTTATACTGTTGCTAGCTTGCAGATGATCACATATATATTTAACTGCAGCAGTTGGCATAAAGCATATATCTTTATTTTCCCATATTGTAACTTCTTCTTTGTGAGAATCTGTTAAATGATAACATTCCATTCGATTAAAAAGTAACTGTAATGAATTGATTATACTCGAACGATTATACATATCAAGTTGTATCATTGTTCGATTCGTTCTTGCGTTATACGGATGACATATTAAAAGTTATATTTATCGATTAGCTGATTATATTTGACATCCAAGATCATGATGAAGATGCAGTAAAATTTTATTCATATAAATCAATAGATATATAATGTGACTTGTTTGGAATATTACAACAATATTGGGATGTCATAGGTACCCGTACACGTGTACTTAAGTATGGGGATGAAAACATACGAAAAAAACCATACTCAGAATTCATTGTTTTTAAAGTTTTAATTGGATAAAGTACAAGATTACCAGTATGAATGAGTGAGCTCTCTTAAAACAACAAAGTCCTCACTATTTTATCACATTTTGAAAATGTCAGGTTAACCCTGTCTGAACAAAGACCTTGCAAGGATCCTATATACCAAGTTATAAAGACACTAAACTGAGTTTTAAGCAGTTGCTGAACCATGGAAATCAGATCAAGGACAATGGACATAGGAGATACAGAAACTTCGTTACTACAGTCATCTCTACACTAGAAATGAATATAATACCTTCAGAAATATAGAGCTTTATTCAAATTGCCGCTACCGCAACCGCATAATTAGCCTCACCATGTCTCATTTTACGACTTTTGGCGTAAGAGAAACAATAAGATTAACGGTGCCAATTTTCAAAGCACCAGATGCGTACTTATGTCTCACCAGTGAGAAATTCCATCTTTTAATTTTATTTCGCACATTTGTTTATATATTTATTTTTTGCTTCAATATGTTTTCTAGCTTAACGACTTCCAAATGTGAATTGGTTTTTTTTGCCAGGTTTATAAAGCTTACCATAACATAAGCACTCATTTGTTAAAATCTGTGATTCTAGTGTATCACAATGTTTATTACTTTTAGGATCGAGACGAACCACTGCCTAAAAAATACAAGTTAAATAAAATATTAAGGTAATCTGGGTTTATAAACAAAATATGATATAATCGTTTAAGACATGTTACCATGCTTATTCCATAATAACGATATAAACAATGAAACATCGAGCTTGTTCAAGTGTAAAATTTTGTAAATTCTCTGATTATGTAGGGAAAATCGATATATAAAAAGAGGAAAATGTGGTATGACTGCCAATGAGGCAACAATGAGAAAAACCCATACCGTATAGTCGGCTATAAAAGGCCCTGACATGAAAAATATGAAACAATTCAATTGAGAAAACTAACGGCTTAATTTATAAGAAAACAATTTACGAAAAACAAATATGACAGACATGAACCAACGACAACCACTGAATGTATACACAAAAAGAAAAAATGGGAAGGTCTTTCCATTTTAAAATTTCTTCATTTTTTTGTTCCTGTACCTTGTCTTCAAACGCATTAACACTCATAAAGTCATTATCAAAAGAAGCCATCATAATATAATACTACAGTACTCAACTCTTTATAGTTATTTTTTCAATTTTGTAGTACTATTTTCAAAATTCAACTATTACTCCTATTTGAAATTTTAATCCTTACCCTAACCATAACGTTCAATTTTCATCTCTTACTCCTATTTGAAAATTAACCCTAACTCCTAACCCTAACCCTAACTTTCAAAATTCATCTCTTACTCCAATTTGAAATTTAACCCTCACCCTAACCCTAACTTTTAAAATTCATCTCTTACTCCTATTTGAACTTTAACCCTAACCCCTAAAAACTGAAAGTGCCGCTGAATCCCCCTCTTCCTACTGCTTACGTCGTAAAATATCTTTTAGAGGTCAAGTGGTTGCCTTCATCAAAATATGAATAACAAATCACAAAAAAGAAGCTTTTTTGAGGGTTTATGAGGTTTTGCACTAAAGACAAAAGGTCTAGTGTAAATACGCAAGACGAAATTCTCAAATATAAATGCTGATGTCTTATGAACATCCGAAGGATTTTATTTGGTAGATTTATGAGATAATGTTTGATTTTTGAATTCAAGAGACACAAAACATCGGCCTTATCGTACCTTCTTTCTGTTTGGAGGAAATTCTTCTAAATAGAGCGATTCCGAATCTATAAAGAATACTGTCCTTTTAATTATGGTAGTTGATATAGTTCTAAGGTAGATACCTGTTTCAGCGATAATTAATGTTTATAGCAACGAATTTGATCGATTTGGGTTAACGGAATAACACACGGAATGATCATTGGAAAGAAGAGAACAAGTCTCATCGAAATCTCGATGTCGTCGTTGTCTACAGTGGTCACTGTTTTCTTTAATTTGGGTCAAAGATCAAAGCTAAAATTTCAGGGAAAACGCAAAGTCACATTTACATAGCTTGCCGCTTGTACATACATGCGTTTTGGCAAAATGAATTCAAATAATTTAAAGCATTATAAATATAGTTTCTATATTTAGGACTAATTAGAAATTTCTGTTGCAAAACATGATTCGAGATTGACATTTGAACTAATGGGGTGCACATTTACAATTTTCATTAAGATGTTAAATAACAATGATCTTGACCGAGTACAATTTCAAAATTTGGAATTTTTATATCAGATTCGGTACCAGTGAACCCTAGAGATGTTTTTAAATAGATATTATCAGTTATAAGTTGCTCTCCAAAAAAAGTTATTTTCCTCCGTCTTTTGATAGATGGTGTTCGACAATTTCTTGGTAAATTTCTATTTTTCTTGAGTGAGTGTGGAAGCACACTCAATTGGGCTTTGTTCCTTTACTTGTGTAATATAAACGCCGAATGGATTAAATTAGCAGTTTATTAGAGTATATCTTTGTTTTATAGAAATGGGAAATACTTAATACAGTGAAAAAGGATGAGGGATTGTCAAAGTTATGATAACTAATTGCCAATTAGGAACAGGTTATTCACTCCATTTTACACATTTATATGACTTGTTGAGCAGAAATTGGCTATAAAATTGAAATGTAGATAATTAATATCTGAAGGAATATTGTTCTGTACAGCATCGGTGTATTTTATAAATACTTGCAGACTACATAGAAAAATTGTCGAAGCTAGTAGTAGCTATAGGGTTTCATTGTCTACTGTAAGTTTGAAAGCCCAAGGACCACGTCTAGGTCAGATGTTGTTTTTGTCTCGCCTGCGCCGCAAATCTCAGAATGCGAGATATAGAGAATACAACCCGACGGTGTTGGCGGCGACAGCGTAAACTATTTGTAAAGCTTTATATTTCAGGGTGGAGAGGACCTGAATGCTTCATACCTTGTATATAGATGCGTTGTGCTACGAAGTTTCAACCTGTCAAAGTATCATGTTCCTTGACCTCATTTGCAAGAGTGCACACGCTGAAATATCTCGCCTGCTTCACCATTCATGATTTATATTTTATACGCATAGTCCTAGAGATACAGTTTTACTACAAGTATCACATAAACTTAACATTGTCAATAATCCATGAAAAAGAGGTCATGGTCAGATAGACCAAGCCAGACAGTCATGTACACCTTACAATCATTACTTACACCAACTATAGTTGTCATATTGATTACGGTATAAAACATACAGACCAAAGCATGAAAACTTAATATTGACCAATGAAACATGAAAATGAGTTCATGGTCAGATGAACCCTGCCAGACAGACATGCACACATTACAATCATCCCATACATCAAATAAAGTTGACCATATTGCTTATAGTATCTGAGAAACAGACTTAACCAGGAAATCTTAACATTGACCACTGAACCATGACAATGAGGTCAAGGTCAGATGAAACCTGGCAGAGAGACACGTACAACTTACAATCAGTCCGTACACCAAAGATAATTGACCTATTCTTTATAGTATCTTAAAAGGGGACTATATTACTAAAACTTAACATTGACCAATGAACCATGAGGTCATGGACAGATAATACCTGCCAGACAGACATGTACTCCTTACAATCATTCCAAAAATAGTTGGCCTACTGCTTACAGTATCTGAGAAACGGACCTACTCATGTAACTTTAACCTTGATCACTGATCCATGAAATGAAGTTGAGGTTAGGTGAACCCGGTCTAACTGACATATACACATTGCAAGGAACCCATACACCAAAATATAGTTATCCTTTTACTTATAACAAGTGAGAAATTCAAATAGAACAAAAAAAAAACGACAATGGACTTATGACCAACGGAAACTTCGTTAAATAAGGCATCTGTATACAAGGTATGAAGCCTACAAGGCTACTACCCTCTGAAGTATAAAGTTTAATACAAACAAATGACGCCGCAGCTGATGTCGCCGCCAAATTTTTATCCCTGTCTCGCATTCTGCGACTAAAGTCGCAGTCGTAACACAATCTGTATAGTTGTATTCGTCATATGAATATTTCACTTATTATGAGTTATAGGATAACTATATTTGGTTAATCTAGTAAATGGCATCCTTGCAAGGTCTACACGTCCAGTAGACAGGGTTCACCTGACATCGATTTCAGTCCATGTATCAGTGCACAAGGTTAAGTTTTCGTGGTCAAGTCCGTATCTCAAATACTATAAGCAGTGAGTCAAATTTGTTTAGTGTATGGAATGATAGGAAGGTGTACATGTCGTTGTTGCAGAGTTCATCTAACCTTGAATTCATTTGCATGGATCATTGATAATTTTAATCTTATGTTATACTTGTTCTATAACCTTTACGTATAACCTTGTTGTATAACCTTGTTGTATAACCTAAGACTTTCAACATGATCAGTAAAGCAAGGTAGACATTTCAGAGTGTGCGCTCTTGTTTTTTTCTATCTCTTTATTCCAAACCTACATCTATCACTGTAATGTTGTTTATTAAGCACGTACATTTAAATACGACCATTGACAACGTATAGATCCTTTGAATAAACTCATTCTTTAAGGATATCATTTATAACCGTAGTAAGATTTTTGAATATACTTTTTTATTGGTACTAACATTGATTCATGCATTTCTCAGACTTTTGATGACGTCTTTACACTAGCTTTCAACTGCGAGTACTTTTAGATCATTACTTTGTGTCTTCTGTCCTTATCTTAGTTGTTTTTTGTGTTAAATGCCAATTTTGATGAGTCTAGCCATTTCCAACTGATTTTTACAGTTTGTCTTTTTTTGTGTTGTTACACAAGTTTTGTGTTGTTACACAAGTGTTCCAGGTAAGGGAAGGGTTGAACGCTCACAAACATATGTAACCGTGCCGCATTCTGTATGTGACTGTCTACGTAATGAAAATCAGGAGCCTGTAATTAAACAGTTATCGTTGGCTGCTGTATGTTATGTCTATTTGTTGTTTATTGTTTTGTCAAGATTAGACCGTTATTGTTTTTATTAATAAATGTATTTTTTTTTCACAGAAAAAAAAAACAAAACATCACAATTTGCAACATTGCAGATCGATCGAACATGCATGCATGTCAGTAACTGCGAGTACTCTCAGATCTTTGCTTAGTGTCATTTTGTTGTGAGGGATATATAAGTACCCGTCTACGTCCACTCTGTGTTTTTGTTAAATGTATTTCTATTTTTATCTATCTGATGAGTTAAGCCTTTTTCAACTGATTTTTATAGTTTGTTCTTATGTTGTACTGTTACACCACTGTCCTAGGTTAGAGGAGAGTTGGATCCTTCAATCGATTTTAACCCCACCACATTCTGTATGTGCCTGTCCCAAGTCAGGAGCCTGCAATTCAGTGGTTGTCGTTTGTTGCTGTGTAACATAATTGTTTTTTGTTCATTATTTTGTAAATAAATTAGGCCGTTAGGTTTCTCGTTTGAATTGTTTTACATTTGTCATTTCGGGGCCTTTTATAGCTGATTATGCGTTGTGGGATTTACTCATTGTTGAAGGCCGTACGTTGACCTATAGTTGTTAATTTCTGTGTCATTTGGTCTCTTGTGGAGAGTTGTCTCATTTGCAATCATACCACATCTTCTTATTTTTA